AATTCACCTAAATCTCCTTCCCCCAAGTATGAAAGTACATATATTCCTTACCCTAACAGTTCCTAAGGAACTTAACATGTGCAAAAATTAATTACAATTTAAAAAGAGGTAGAACTAGTAATTTAATGCAAATGAATTAAGTTTGGAACACTATTTAATCATTTACTGATGTCAGTGTTATAGTAAATGAGGAGATTCTTAATATATTCCTTACAAATGTGCAAAAATGTCTGGATGGAAAAAGTTTTTACTATGTAGGGATAGAGAGCTAGAAACATCGATCAGCTGCCTCCTGCACACCCCCTCCTGGGGATGTGCCCGCAACCAAGGTACATGCCATTGCACTCAAGAATTCAGAAGTGGCTGAGAACTCACCTTTATCAATATGAACTTCTAAGCCAAACCGGTTTCGGCATGAGGAGATTCTTAATATATTCCTTACAAATGTGCAAAAATGTCTGGATGGAAAAAGTTTTTACTATGTAGCCCAGATATCTCTGCGTGATAAGACCATGCATAGAACCCTATTGAGAATCATTTTTAACAACTATAAAATCTAAATAATCTTGCCATTGCACTCAAGAATTCAGAAGTGGCTGAGAACTCACCTTTATCAATATGAACTTCTAGAATCTTCTTCTCTCGAACTATCTTCCTTCCATTGCAGCTTTTACATCTATCTTTAGGACTGATCCTTTCCCCATGGCCCTGGCACTCCATGCACACAGACTGAATTTGCTGAACCATTCCAGGGCCTATCTGATGAATTCTTATTTGCATTCCAGTACCTCGGCAATTGGGACAGCACTCTACTGCTCCTTTCTTACCACCTCGGCCTAAATAGTTTAAAAAGAAATTGAATTATGTTTGAACTTAGTATCAGACACAATGATGAATGTTTTAATAAGATAGTTTTAATAGACACAACACTGTATTAACATTTGCAAGTGTGATGAAATGCTTGTCCATCAAGAACTAAAATTTAGCCTTTTTATTTGATAAAATACAGCTGCAACCAGCTTCAGTCATCTATAAACATTGACTGTTGTTTTCCCAAAGAACCATTTTAGAATTGTGAATTTTAAACGTGCTCCCAAATCACAATTCACTGGACATACTTAATCTGTGAGACGAGAGCAGTAAGGAGTTTTTTCTCTTTAGAAGATACCATATTTCCAAAAAAATAACTTGTACTTATAAAAGGCTTAGAGGATCAGAGCCAATAACTTGTCTCTATATGGAACAGCTTAGTGTGCAAAGAAATCACTGTTTAAATCCTATTACAGATTATGAAGCCACTGGAATGATCAAGTGTTAGAGACAATATGATGTGCTCATTTGAACTCAGCGGGTGGTGCCAGGCCAAGGTGGGTGCAAGCAGGGGCCCCAATCGCCCTGCCAGTCACCCCACCAATTGGCCCTGATTGCCAGCCAGGCCTAGGGAACTTACCTGTGCCCGAATTTCATGTACCGGGTCTCTAGTATACACATAAAGAAGTGCTCACGTTTTGTTAATATTCTCTAGATGGTAGATATAGATAGTTCTTTATGTTTGCACCCTCCAATATTTAGGTAGTGTATTATTCGTCAGTTTTATATCTTCAGAAAGGCTTCAGTTCAATTTTCAGTTTATTTAAGATGTTAGAAGACCATACCTTCACATTTGTCACAAATCACATTCTTTTGTAGAGCTAGTTTTCTTGTTGCACCATTATATAAGTCTTCTAAGGTTACAGAGAGCTGATGCACCACGTTTTTACCTAGAACAAAATAATGCTCATTAAAAATCTAAGATGTACGTACCTTGTGTTCAATGCACCATCAAAATTACAAATAATAATAAAAGATAAGGCTCACAAGGTACATTTGTTAAGTAACTTGTATTACATACATAGAATTTGTTAAGTACATATTATATACAGTTTGGCCACATTACCCACAAACTGCAATTAATTTCAGGTAAGAAAAATTGGGTGAGATTAAGTAATTTGCCTAAGAATATAGTTGTGACTATCTTACAAATTATGGCAATCAAAAACATGAACAGTAAAATCAGGTGAGAACCAATGCCATTTATAGGGGCACATTTCATAATAATTATTTTAAACTACATTTCTGTCCCAATATATTCTTTGAATCTTTCACTTAATATGATATTGAGCAACATGGCCTATTACTTCATCCAAAAATTCTTCAGCACACTAAGTTCCAAGTTCCAACCAATCAAGATTGGCTGGGGAAGCTGATGCATTTATTCAACCTCCACAGAATATCAATTCCTACTTCTACATGAAGCAGGAATAGCACATTTACTGTTTGACTAGCACTAGTTTAACGACTAGGTTTCTCATATCCTTTATCATAGTGCTGTCCAAAAGAAGTTGCAGCAGTGATAGGAATGTTTTGTATTTGTGCTATCCCACACAGTAGCCACTAGTCACATGTAGCTATTGCAGATGAAAACTGAATTTTTGTCTTTGTTTTTAATGGATCTAAATTTATTGTGGCCAGTGGCTACAAAGGAGTGCCGTAACTCATTTCAGAATAGGAAGTGGAAGGTTAGAGATCATATGAGGACACAGGCTACAGAAATGAAGTCACCTGTCAATGGTTAATATGTTCCCAGCTAGTAATTCTTTCACAAAGACTTCATCCACCACAAAACAGTATTGCCTTATGCCCAAGTGAAAACAAGTTCTCAAACTCTTATCTGCACAATATGCCTGTTGTGAACATTTTTAGTTTCCAATGAAGTGTGAAGCACCATTAACTATATCCTTCTGCTCCTAGCTTCATCTTTGGGTTCTGTATCACAAATATAGCCCCATACAGTTGGTTCCAGCACATTGAAAGCTGCCTTTCTTACTTTAGCTTTAAAGTTTTGAGAGTATAAGGGAAAAGGGCTTATTAAATTTGATTAGGCAAGTATTTTTTGGTGTCCCACACAGAGGCCTTTCATTGATCTAAATCACATAGAAGAGTTAGACAGTCAATTCATTATTAAAAATATAATTATAAAAACATATCCCTTTCCTTTCAGGAAAAACTAAGTAAACCATTTCTAGTCTTTCTGAATTTTAAAAAGCTCACAGTGGAATTTAATGGCTTCCCTATTCCTTCTAAAATGGACTCTACCCATTGGCCATTATTTATGTAAACTATACTGGGAACAAATGAGATTGACTCTGACCTGAACATTGTTTTCCTATGAAGAATATTTCTACAACCAGGAAACGGCATTTCTGATAAATGTTAAGGGCACATATACAGACATAATAAAGCTGAAGCAAAATTAACAGATAGCAGGCTATTTGGAAGTAATGAATCTATGCTCCAATCCTGACTACTGATGCCTTGCTGTATAACCTGGAGGGAAGTTTAGGTTTCTGAACTTTAACCCACTTTCAACTGAGTGCCTCCCATTAGGTTGGGGGGTGTCAAATAATAGCTTAAAAAAGGGCTTTGAAAATTATGTTCTGATACTTTGTTCCTTTAATTAATGCTTGACAATCTTATTGAAGTTTGTGTCCCAGTGTCAAAGAGCTTTAGAAGCACTCACTTGTTAGCACTTGGTCTAGATAGTTTTAGTTACATCAAATCTTATTTTAAAAAACGATACAAATAGAAATGGCAGTGTAGTTTGCAAAATTGTAACAACATGTAAACCAACATTTAAAATAGACAAGAATTTGCTTTGACCAAGGGGCTACTGTGAATTGCTGCATATAGACTGATTATTCTTACCTCTCCTTTCTCTCTGCATCCTTCCTCCTCCTCCAAAAAACATATCAAAGATGTCCATGGGGGAACCAAAACCACCACCTGCTCCACCTTCCTTAATTGCTTGTTCTCCTCCTTTGTCATATAAGTCCCTTTTCTTTGCATCAGAGAGCACTTCGTAAGCTTGAGAAATCTGTTTAAACTGTTTGAGAAAGAACAAATCTCACTTTAAAAAAGTATTACGAAGCATAGCTACTATATTAGGCATACTCAATTTCAGGTTGTTATGGAACTACCATGCACCTGACCAAAAAAAAAAACGATTCAAGCTGTGCTTGAGTATGAATATACAACTTGCCTTCTCTCCTTCATTTGGATTCTTATCAGGGTGGTACTTCAAGGCCAGCTTCCTATAAGCCTTTTTCAGTTCTTCCTGGGTGGCATTGGGTTTGACCCCCAAAACATCATAGTAAGTGGTTTCTTTCACCATTTTTGACAGCCTGAAATTAAAAAAAAAAAAAAAAAGTAATTTTAACTGACTTTCAACTGGTAGCTGTAATTCGTTAAATCATAGATATGGCCGAGAAATCTGTTCTTTGCCAAATCTGATTATAAAAACCCTGCCTTCCCTAACCTGCAGAGGAGGTAACAATTCCTTTGACAATTCAGCAATAAACTCTAACAAATTGCAGATAAGCGAATAATTCCCAGGGAACAATTCCGAAGCTCCCTATAGCAGCTGGCTCCCGTTCTCCCACACCAGAGCCGCCACCCGGTCTGGGTTCTTCCTGTTCCCCGCCCCCAGCAGTGACAGAAGGAATCAAAGGAGCACCAACAGGTTCAGTCCGCTGGGTCCTACATTACCAGGGCCTCTGGTCAATACAAGACACACACTCCCTAGAAAAAAGACCTCTGGGCACCAGGGGCCAGGGGGTGGTGTATGGACCGATGTATACGGCGAGCCCACGTCCGCGTCTCAGTTCCAGGGCCCACAGCGCCTCCACGCCGGCCGCCGAACCCCTCGCTCCCACCGGCCGCGCAGCTTACACGTCGTTAGGTGTCCCCTGCACTGGGCGCCGATCGTTGAGGTTTCCTTCCTCCCCCCGCCCCCCCTCCCCGCTCACCAGGGAGAGAAGGTGGGAGAGGCCAGCCGGCAACAAAGAGGAGGGGAGGCCGAGAAGCGAAACCGCGGCCGCCGCCCGCTCCTCCCGCAGCCCCTCACCCGCAGCTCCTTCTGCGCTTGCGCGCAGGGTCGCCCACCTCCCTGGGAGCCCGGGGGTATGGCACCGGGTAGAAGAGCCCCAGGCCGCAAGGGCCCGGAGACCCCGGGCGGGACGGGGAGCAGGAGCAGCTCTGCGGAGGGTCTCGGGCCCACTCCCTACGAGCCGGGGATGGCTCGCCCCCCCCCCCCCAAAGGGGAATCGTGGATCCTAGAACCCATACCCCTCCCGCCCACGCGGAGCCAACCGCCTCCCGACCGCGGCTCCGTCCGGCTTCCCGGCGCCGCCGATGGCGTCGGCCTTGGGTCGAGGGGAGGCGCCAGGGCCCGACACTCACCGGTGAGCGGGCCGAGGCAGGTGTGGAGGAGCTGGAAAGAGCGCGTTGCTGCGCGCAGCTCAGGCAGCCGCCGCTCCTCCACCTCTCACCGAGCGTTCTGGAAAGTTCCGCCCGGCGCGCCGCAGCCGTCGTCTTTTGTAGCCGAGCCCAGACGCGTCACCCGCAGGAAGTCCCGCCCTTCCCGCCGCTGCCACCGCCCCGCGGTTACCCGGGCAACGGCGCGGGGGAGCTCGGGCTGGAGGGGCCTGTGCCGAACAGCCTTGTGGGGTTGGGTTCCTAGTGCTCCTGGAACTTTCTGGAGCCCTTTCTTCCCCCGGGTCGGTCCAAGAGGTCGGGATGGTCAGGCGGGGACAGGGATTGCCCAGGAGCGTGGCAACTCCGCGCCAACTCGGAGTTTCCAAACCCGGGGGGAGGCCGGGACCGCGGGCGGGTGCCGTGTGCAGAGCTGGTGTCTCGCAGAACAAAGCCCTGCAGCGCTTCCTCCCCGCCGGCGCCTCCTCTGCCTCTTTCGGCGACTCCTACCGGCTTAGTTCTTGAGCGCTGAGGTTCTGGGAACTGCTGAGCAAGCAGCGCTGAGCAGGATGGGCCTGGGCCCCAAGGCAGTGTCACAGGCCTTGGATCTTGTTCCTTATCACACGCTGCCCCTGACCTGATCATGCAAACTGCGAGGCTGGAAGAGCGCTTTGCAAGTCCAGGCTCCTGTGCACGCGCTGCAGCCTCCTATACGCTGGGCTCAGGCCAGCGCCAAACCAGACACGTTTGCAATGTCTTTGGGCAAACGGAGGGCCGTGAACTCTTGTCTGGCCGGGTGTTCACTTGGTTGGCTAGCGGGAGACACAGAGTAGCACCAAGAGTGACTGACATTGTTTTATCTGATGTTTTAAGTACCACCAGTCTGTGAACCTGGACCTACAGTCTGCAAAGTGAGTCTCTGGGCTTTCAAATGTTGGGAGGGGGCATATTGGGAAAAGGGGGCCGTTTTTTCTTATTCATTAACACAACAAACTCAGGAGTACTATCTGGCTCCAAGGAAACTGAAATTGAAAAAAAAGCCGGTTCACATGGCTTAGATTTTAGTAGGCGGCCGTACAAGTCAACGAACTGTAAGTGAGCCCCGATACAGAGATTAGCAGGAGAGAGGCCCGTGTATATTAATCTGATGGAACAGGGAAAGCTTCCCTGGGAAAGTGGTAGTTGAGCTGAGTTTTGAAGGGAGAAGAGCTTTCGCAGTAAAGGACAAAGGACAAGGGGAAGGTGTGGAAGAATATGGTGTTTTTAGGAAATTGCAAGCAATTGGATATAGCCAGACCTAAGGGATCTGAAATAGGAGGTGAGGCTTCAGAGCCAGTTGGGGTATATCTTGCTAAACTAAGGATTCTGAACTTTACCCTGGAGGCACCCCCATGTGTATCTCTTCAGCCTTATCTCTTAAATTGTGTGCACCAGTTGCACCGAACTATTTTCAGTTTCCCAAATGCACATTTTCACCTCTCTGCTTTACTCTGGCTGACAAACACCTAATTTTCCCAGTCTTACATGTTACCTTCTCAAATACTACCCCTGGTATAAAGTTGTTTTTTTTTCTTCTTCTTCTGATCAGTTACTGAAAGTCTAATACTTCCTGGAAGGGCACTAGGGTTTGGTAATATAAAAATCACGCAAGTTATGGCCCCTGTCCTCAAGGAGTTCACCATATAAAGAAGAAGTTGAGGAATATACCCCAACAAGAAAGAGTATATTGAGGTGCTCAGTAGGGAAAATCTGCACCATCTAAATAAATATCCCAGGTCGAGAGACCAGCAGTTGTGAAAGCATGAACAGTTAAGAGAAAAGAACTAAACACTGTTCATGTGTTATGTAGGCATTATTGTTCTAAAGTCCATACTTGGCTTTAAAACGTTAAGCAAAACACTTCAGTATAACAAAACACTTCAAGAGTTTCCACAATGCATATTACCATGCCTCATGTTTCTTAAATATAACCATGTTTAGTGTTTCTTTTTGCCTGAGGGATCCAATTGAAATTCCCAGAGCTTTTAGAAAGATGGAGGTATGATACAAACATGAAGATACCTTCTTGAGACCATCAACATAAGGCCATGAAATACGATATTGAAAATACTTAAAAAATCTGCAAGCTCACTAAATGAGCTTAATTATTAAGAATAAAGATAAGGGGTATACAAGTTGATTTTTTAAAAAATGAAAACTACTTATTTGCTTGTATGTGCATAAAATATTTCATAAGGATACCCCAAAACTTGTAATATGGTTGCCTGTGGGAGAGAGCTGGGTATTGGAGAGAGGCAGATGGGAGGAAGGCATACAGTATTACCAAATAACCTTTCGTGACTTTGGAATATTTAACCCATTTGAATGTAGCACTTATTCGAACATTAAAAAACATCATATGCTCTGTTTGTCATTTCTTTCTTCATAGAAATTTATGTCAATGATGCTGAAAATATGTACTGATGAATATTCTGGCTTAACATTTTTAAGGCGCATTCTTATTTACATAAAACAAAAAGAGTAACAATAATTACGTGATTTTTTTTTTTTTAAAGAAATGGGAACATATACATGCTGCTTGTTCCTTGCCCTTTTAATTTATTGTCATCTTATCATGTTCGGATAAATAAACCTACCCTATTTTTAACGACTTCATAGAATGTAGGATGCAGGCACTATAATTTAACCATTGTCCTATTGATGAACATTTTGACAATTGCCGATGTTTTACAAACAGTGTTAAATAACAAATATCGTTTATTGTTGAGAAGTTCTCAAATCCATCTTTGGGCATTAATGCAAGTATTTCTGTAAGACAGACATCTAGAATTGAAATAGTTGAGCCAACGTAAATGCAGATTTTAAATTGTAATAAATAATTTTCTATAACAGTTTGTATTGCTGCCAGCAGTGTGAGTGGGCCTTGCCAATATGGGGGATTTTATCTTTTTTTAGTCTTTGCTAACCATGGAGATTAAAAAGTGGTATCTATTGTTTCAATTTGAATTTCTTTAATAGTGTGGTTAAGCATCTTCTAAATAGTATTTATCAACTCTTCGTCTGTCAATGGTCCTTCTTGTTATTTGATCATTTTTCTGTAGTGTAACTTAGCACCTTTATATTAGGGATAGTGTGTGTGCATATATAAATACGTGTGTGTGTGTGTATATATGCCATATGAAGGTTTTAATTTTTATGTAGATACATTTAAAAAAAATTTTTAATTGATTTATTGGTTGCTTCTTGTATGTGCCTTGACCGGGGAATTAAACTCACAACCTTGGCATATCAGGATAATGCTCTTACTAACTGAGCTACCCTGCCAGGGCTAAATTTTCTTTTTTTAAAATTTATTGGTTTTGAGAGAGAGAGAGAGGAAGAGAAATATCTATTTGTTGTTCCACTTAGTTATGATTCGTTGGTTGATTCTTATATGTGCCCTGACCGGGGAATTAAACTCACAACCTTGGCATATCAGGATAATGCTCTTACTAACTGAGCTACCCTGCCAGGGCTAAATTTTCTTTTTTTAAAATTTATTGGTTTTGAGAGAGAGAGAGAGGAAGAGAAATATCTATTTGTTGTTCCACTTAGTTATGATTCGTTGGTTGATTCTTATATGTGCCCTTGATTCTTTTTTTCCCCCCTTGATTCTTGATTGAACCTGAAATCTTCAGGTATTGGAACAATGCTCTATCCAGCTTAGCTATGCAATGAGTAGGTTAGATAAGTTGCAACACTTTCTTTTTGGCTTTTGCGTTTCTTCTCCCTTCTTTTCCCCTTCTCCTTTAACTTTATTTGTTACACATAGAAAGCCTTCACAAATCCATTATAAATATATTCTCCCAGGTTTTTCTCTAGTACTTTTATGGTTCCATTTTTTACATTAAAAATTTTAATCCACCTGAAATTTATTTTGGTGTAAGGGCTGAGGATTATTTTTAAGTAATTGAGATGTATTTTTGTCCAAATGGAGGGCTAGTTTATCTAACACTATTTTAGTACTTTATTTTTTTTCATGACTAATGTGAAGTGCCACTTTTATTGTATACTAAACTCCCACTAAAATACATTTTAATTTCTGGTAGTTCCCCTTATTGCTCCTCCTTTTTACAATTTTCCTGGCACTTTCTAGGATTTTTATTCTTCCAGGTAAATGTAAGAATATTTCTAGAAGATTTCCCCCATTCCCACTGTCATTTTGATTGTGATTATAGTGCTTTTATATATCAGTCAGTTTGGGGAGAATAAAAATGCTTATGGTATTGAATCTTCCTACCCATGGAAAAGGTATATAGTGCATATAACTGTGTGTTCACTTTCTTTATTGTGTTTATGCTTTTTAAAAATTTAGGTCCTGCTTATTTCTTCTTAAAGATGTCACTAGGCATTGTCTTCGCGTTGCTTTCACAAATGGCCTCTTTTCTTACCATTGTATTTTATTTCAGTGCCTGTGCTCGGTGCACTCTCAGTAACCATGTGACCAGGTCACACATGTCCATGCAGGTAGCTGGAGATGGCTGGAGGCATGGCCGGAGCCAAGTCATAAGGTCTTGAGCATTATGTTATTAGTTTGAATTTTACCTTGAGAGCTCTTAAGAGATACTGGAAGACTTTAAGGATGGGGTGATATAACCTCTAACAGCTGATTTTTTTTTTTTAGCTCCTATCAGGCACTGCGCTAAACTCTACAAGTGTCATATTTTAGTCCTCACAACTCTGTTTTACAGATGATTTGATCATATGTACTTTTTAGAACAGTCATTTGGGTGCTAATGTGAAGGATGGATTCTTAGAAATCTTTTATGATGAGGATGAGATTAGTAAGTGATAAGGCCAAAACAGGAGAAATGGAAAGGGAGGGAAGTATAAATACAAAGGTGAAGTCTTCAGGTCTTGGTGACTGGATGCAGAGATGAGGGAAAAGGTGTCATCACTGACATCCCCCTTTCTGGACTGAGCAGTAGGATAGTTGCAGATGCCCTTCCTGAGACGGACAACCTAGAATAGTGATGGCGAACCTTTTGAACTCGGCGTGTCGGCATTTTGAAAAACCCTAACTTAACTCTGGTGCCGTGTCACATGTAGAAATTTTTTGATATTTGCAACCATAGTAAAACAAAGATTTATATTTTTGATATTTATTTTATATATTTAAATGCCATTTAACAAAGAAAAATCAACCAAAATAGATGAGTTCTCGTGTCACCTCTGACACGCGTGTCATAGGTTGGCCATCACTGACCTAGAAAGAGGAGGAAGAGGAGGCTGTGGTGGGGGCAGAATTGGAAAAGGGGGCAAGATGAATCCAGGTTTGGATATGTAGAATTACTGCTATCCTTTTTTCTTTAATTTAAAAAAGAAAAACATTTTATTGGCAAATACAAAATGGGAAGTAAATTGTAGTCAAAATGCTGTTTTTATGCTTGTATAAATTAAATTTCTTGCAGCATTTAGGTTTTAATTGACTGTGAGGCCTAGTAGGGCTGGAAATTGTTTTCAGTGTCACCAGTTTGTGCTGGTACTCCTCTTATCACTGTGAATGCCCACGGTTTCAGTCTCCTCTATGAGCTGTTCTCCTTCCTTCCAACCCCCAACCCCCAACCCCCAATTGTTATTTTTAAATTAAACTTTTAATTTTAGAGTAGGTTTAGATTTACAGAAATGTTGCAAGGAGAGTACAGAGAATTCCCATATATCTGGCACCCAGTTTTCTGTATTATCAGCATCTTGTGTTAAAGTGATACAGTTGTCACTACTAATCAACCAATTTTGATACATTATTAATAACTAGAGCCCATTCTTTATTTGAATTTCCTTAGTTTTTACTTATTGTCTCTTTTCTGTCCCTGGACCCTATCCAGGATATCACATTACTTTTATCTTTTTTCTTTTAATCCTTTCCAGAGGATGTGTTTAGAGAGGGGAAGGGGGGGAGGGGGAGAGAATGAATCATGGATGTAAGACAGAAACATTTATTGGGATCAAACCCGCAATCCAGGGACCAGAAATCAAATCCAAAACCTTTCGGTATACAGGATGATGCTCCAAGCAACCGAGCTGGCTGGCCAGGGCAGGATATCACATTACTTTTAGTCGTCATGTCTCCTTAGGCTCCTCTTGACTGTGACACTTTCTTAGATTTGCCTTGTTTTTGATGACCTTGGCAGTTTTAAGGAGTGCTGGCCAGGTGTTTTGTAGACTGCCCTTCAGTTTGGGTTATCTAGTGTATTTTTCTCATGGTTTGAGTGGGTTTACGGGTTTTAGGGAGGAACACTACAGAGGTAAAGTGCTAGTTTCATCATATATCCCAGCTACATGCTATCAACATAACATTACTATCGATGTTGACCTTGATCACCCACTTGGCTGAGGTAGTGTTTGTCAAGTTTCTCCATTGTGAAGTTATTCCTCTGCTCTCTGCTTTTCTATACTATACCCTTTAGAAGGAAGTCTTACTTATCTTGATGTCATAGGCTTGAAGGCACAGAGTAGTATTTGCTGAACTGAACTGGGTCCCTATTATTTTGTCTCACAAAAGTTCTGCCAGATATTTTTTTCTATTTTATCAATAGGAAAATAAAAATTAGAGAATTTGAGTAACTTGCTCAAAGTAGCACAGTAAGTAGTCAAATTGGAATTTGAACCCAGTCCTTCTGAATACAAAGCCTGTGGTCTTTGCTTGCACCATCTGGCTTTACAGAGGGTTGTATTTACTTTGGCCATCTTCCCTAAGTACTTATTATGCAAAATTGTCCATAGATAATGTGGTTAGACTCGTTATATGGAAATTTAATTCCTCCTTTCAATTTAAAGTTATACCTTAGAACTCTCAGTCTTGAATTGGGCAGATCTCTGTGCTCAGTATTGCTCGATCCAATTTTAATATAATATCTTCTCTTTAATTCTCTGTAGAGTTATGAAGAGTGGGTTACAGCAGGGCCTTCCTGGGAAAGTGGGTACAGTTCAGATGTTACAGTAGTATAGGACTGTTTTTATATTTTGTGAGGCAGTGCAAAATGAAAACAGTGCCCCTTGTTCAGAAATCATTAAGAATTCCAGCTGTAGTGGGTTTTGCTTAGGTGTTAGAGCATCAGTCCTTGGACAGAAGGGTCTCGAGTTCAATTCTGGTCAAGGGTATGTACCTCGATTGCAGGCTCGATCCCCGGTCCTGGTCCGGGCATGTGCAGGAGGCAATCAATCGATGGATCTCCCGCACATCGATGTTTCTCTCTCTGTCTCTCTCCCCCTCCCTTCCACTCTCTCTAAAATCAATGGGGAAAAACAATATCCTCGGGTGAGGATTAATAAGAATTCCAATACACTGACAGCAGAGCATTATACCAAACAGGAGGCTCTTCTAAGCATGAGACCTGTGTGAGTGTACAGGTCACATGTCCATGAAGTTGGCCCTGCAGTAGTAGAAGTAGTAGGTAAAGAGGGCCAGTATTAAAGCAGTGGAAGTGGGAATGGAGAATGGAGGGTGGTTACACAGTATATTCAAGAGGTAAATCTATAGGAATTGATTGATGATTAGTTGTGATGAGTGAGTGGGCCGATAAAATATGGAATGTAAAGTTTCTGATTGGGTGAGGCCATTCACTGGCACAGGGAATCAAAGAGGACCAGATTGGCCTTGAGGGGAAAATGATGAGTTCAGTTTTAAACATTAACATCCAAGTGTAGATATTCAGGAAGCACTTGGATATGTAAGTAGCCATAGAAAAAGAGCTGGGGTGTACTCTCCAAAATGATAGTGCTGCTCACTTATTCTGAGGTTGAGGACCAGGATGAAGGGGGATAATTGGTTGAGGACTTCCATCTTTTAAAGAAAGTATTCATGTATTTCTTGTATAACTGAGAAATAACTTTTAAATGGAAATCAAGTCACAAAGTATTAATTGTATTTGTAAGAGAAATAGAGTCAATCTGAAAGTAAAAGTTTCAAAAGTTTATAGTAATACGAAAGGCATTTATGATAGAAATAGATTTGCAACCACCTATTTTCTGTTGCCAATACCACACTACATGTGTCTCAAAATAGACTCTTAGTTTACTTTTTAAACTTTTATTGAGTATCCACAATCAATTGGTTCCTCTACAGGTTGTATAACTGAAAAATTACATTAAACTTTAGTTTTACCTTGTATCTTTATGCTTTTTGATAACTGACATATGAGCATTGCCATATTTTAGTAGTATATTGTATAATGCTTTTTTCTTTGGATTACATTACCTGTGTATTTTTTCTTGGGGGAGGTGATAGGGAAAGCCTGAAGATAGAAGTCCGAAGCTCACATTGGAGTTCTGCCTCTGCCTCTTGTTGGCTGTGTGATCTTGGGAAAATTACCCAGCTTCTCTGAGCATGCTTTCCTTATTGGTAAATGGAGATGAAGATAACCTTATTAGAGATGTGAAAATTAAATGAGACTATAAATGAAAGTTGTTTGTAAACTCTAAATTTTATAAATTCATACCTTTTTTAGTTTTGCACCCACGACCTTTCTTAGTGAGCTTCCCACCTCACGTCCTTCTCAGAATCATCTCCTCCCTTCGCAAACTCGTTTTCTCACCATCCCCATAATGTGCCGTGTATTCTCCTGCCTCCTTAATACTGCTTCTGATTCATTTATTTAATCAACAAATGTTTATCGAGCACTTCACTTCCCTCAAGTCTTTGTTTAAATGTTACCTTCTCAGTGAGGTCTACAATGTCTGCCCTATTCCAAGTTGCAACCTGCTGCTGCTCAGCACGGCCAGTCCTCCCTCACCTGCTCTCCTTTTCCTCCACTACACTTATGACGTAACACAATATTTACCTATTGTCTCTTCTCTCCACACCCCCTTCCCACTAGAATTTAAATGTCATTTGGGCAGGGATCTTTGTTTTGTTTTATGATGTATCCCAGGCATGTAGAACACTGCCTGGTACAGAGTAGGAACTGAACCAGGGGCATTTATTGAACAAATGAATGAATATGCATTGTGCCAGACTTTTAGCCAGGCTCTGGGTATGCAGTTGTGAAAAGAAGAGCTGGTTTCACCCTCATGGAACATCCAGCCTGGCATTATTGTCTGGTGGTTTTTCTGCCCGCCTGGGCTGTCCTCCTCTGGGGAACGTCAGAGTGACTAATAGCTGAGTTCAGAGTGGCCTTTCCTCTTAGTGGTGAGCAATTTTCAGATAGTTTTGCTTTTAGGTTAAAAAAAATTATAATGGAAGGACAGGAAGAGAGTAATGCATTCTATTTAGTTATTCTAAGTTAAAAGTCAACAATTTTCCCGAATGCAAAGAAGAATACAAGTATTTCCTTTAAAGTGCTGGGCCTTGCAGGTAGCTGAAAGAGGTCATGGGGGTATATCTGGTTTAACTTGTTTTCCTTCCCTCCCTCCCTCCTTCTCTCCCTCCCTTCCTTCTTTTTTTTTCTTTCTCTCGCCACCCCTCTTCTTTCATCTGAAGGAAGATGGCTGTAATTTTTCATATTATTGAAGAATGAGAGGATGTGCAATAAACATGTTTATTGCTGTGTTTTTGAAAAGTTTTGGAATGCTTCATTCATGAGATCCTGACCTGTTTCTTGAGGTCCTCTCAATGCAGTTTGTCAATAGGAGTTTTTATATTGCTAGAACTCTTTCTTAAGAAAAGAGAAAACAAAAGATTAAATTGAGTATATTTAAAAATAATCTGCTGATCCGGCACACTTAAAACTATATGTCAACAACTGTTCTTTCTCTCACTATGTTCTCACATAGGCAGCCAGGGAAACACAACGCAATCCAGGGAAACTCTGTAAGACGGGATGAAGAATTAAGGAAGAACGTTGCTCACAGGTATGCAGCTGAACTAAATGATTTTTAATATCCCTTCCAAATCTGAGACTTTTGATCTAGATAATTTAAATTCCTAAATCCTGTTTGTCCTCATTTATTTGAATAATCCAGTTGATAACATTTTGTGTAGATATATTTTCTAAATAATTATTTTAATTCTGCAGGTATGAATTGTTTTTTTAAAAAAATATATTTTATTGATTTTTTACAGAGAGGAAGGGAGAGGGAGAGAGAGTTAGAAGCATCGATGAGAGAGAAACATCAATCAGCTGCCTCCTGCACACTCCCCACTGGGAATGTGCCCGCAACCAAGGTACATGCCCTTGACCAGACTCAAACCTGGGACCCTTCAGTCCGCAGGCCGACACTCTATCCACTGAGCCAAACTGGTTAGGGCAGCTATGAATTGTTTTGCCCCATAATCTTTTTGTCAGAAAAACTATTGATAAAGGAAACTCTTGGGACTGTAGCCTCAATTTATTGTAAACAGTTTCTATGATGTCCCATATACCCATGATATGATAAAAAATCTACTCTGCAAGATTATTTTTAGCATCTTCTTGCACTTGGTAACAACTTAAGTTTGTGTAACACTTGTTGCATTGTGAGTAAACTCTAAAACATCCTCAATAAAACAAAGAACAAAAGAAAAACTCAAGTGATGAGCTCTATGTAAAGTCTCTTGTAATGCTCTTGACTGATTTATGAGCCCTTTAGAGTGCTCACATTGACCTGTGGACACATCTCTGTCCTAGTATTTATGTAAATAGGTATATACTTTATAAACACTGATGGTGATACCTTCTTCCAGAAAGGATTCATAGCCATTTCCAAAGGTACAAGAAAACCCCCCAAAGCAAAACTCACTCACATACACTCCAAGATGCCATAAATTAGAGCAGGGGTCCTCAAACTACGGCCCGCGGGCCACATGCAAATACAAATATTGTATTTGTTCCCGTTTTGTTTTTTTACTTCAAAATAAGATATGTACAGTGTGCATAGGAATTTGTTCATAGTTTTTTTTTCTAAACTATAGTCCGGCCCTCCAACAGTCTGAGGGACAGTGAACTGGCCCCCTGTTTAAAAAGTTTGAGGACCCCTGAATTAGAGAATGAAAAAAAAAAGAACTGCAGAGAATGAAGAAATAAAAACATGGGTAGAGACAAAACGGAGGCAAAGCTAAAAATGAATATAGGGATGACCTTCACATTTGCTACAGCTGGGCCATGAATTTGTCTCTAAGCTGACAGTTTCACTGGTCCCACAATTCATGATATCTATGGATAAAAAACAAAACCGTTACTCTGGAGAAGTAAAACTATTCCCGGAACTGAGATCAGATTGGACTGTCTCCCAGGGACACTCAGAGAGAGAACATTGTGTTATATGAGCGGCAGTGTCCTTGACAGCATCCCTGACAGGGTGACCAGTTCACAAGGATGCCTCGGAGAGCCCGATGGCTACACACCAGAAAGCGAGTCCATGGGTTAAAGCAATAGTTCTGAGGCGGAGGACTGGCTCAGTGGTCATGGCTGCACAATGTTTTTACCTCCTGGACTACAGTTACTGGCATATAGCAGGTATCAAGAAGCATTTCTGAGTGAATGTCGATTGAAGAAGACCGGTTCAAAGACTCCCTCTAGAAAGGTCTTCCAATTACCAAGACCTAAAATCCTGCTCCCCAACTTTGCACCCCTTTTGTAGCTATCAAGCAATAAATACAGTTATGCAATGTTTCTCCTACTGTTGGGTTAAACTGCCATTTCAATATTTTGACATTAAATTTCTCATGTCTTCCCCAAATATGGGAATGAGGCCAGGGATATTTGTATGTGTGCGCACATAGTTGTTGTTGTTGGTGGTGGTGGTGGAAGTGTTAGGTCTAGAAAGTACTGTAGTCATCAAACTGGAAGACCAGTTTGCAGGTCACCTTGAGAGTACTATTGGCTTAGACCCAGGCTCCCACATCCAGGCTGTCCTTCAGAGCTGAAGCAGGGTGGGTCACGGTGCCACCATGGGCCTTTTGCCATGGGTCTCTGCTGAGCAACAGAAAGACCCAGTCACAGGTAATGGTATCACTGGCATTACAAGGGACTGAGTGCTGAGCTAGCAGCTACTGACCCAGGGCTCTTTACAGTCCTGTAGGGGAACTGGGGTTGAGTTGAGTTCGCAGGTTAGGGTTTAGTCATTTTAGTTGGCAGAGTTAGAGGCTTGGGAGTAGGGTTTGGTGTAAGGGTTTTTCTTCCGGGTGGGTGTCACCACCTCTCAGTTCTGACTGTTATCTTCCTGTTGTCATTGACATTGTAAAGATGCTTCAGAGTAGGAACGTGGTCCCTATGTGCAGCTTTCTACCTGCAGTCACAATGATGATGAAGATGCTTGTCTTCTGGTGTATAACTTTACCTTGTTCTTGTTTCAATAGCAATGGCACTGTCAGACCTGGGATAGGAAACTGGGAGAGGGAGTATAGTGGTTAAGAATATGGATTTTGATGGAGGCCTGTGCAGGTCTCAATCCATCCAGGGCTTAAAGTTGCTATCTGCCTCATAAAGGAAAGTAGATGGTTTGTCTTTTGGCAAGACAAAGTTGTCTTGTCTGAAAAAGCCTCCTCCGTGCTTGGCTTTGGCATCTTCCAGGAATAGGAGGGTCTCCTGTCATGATGGGCAGGAGGTGCTTTTGCTGATTCACATGATGGGTGGCTGAGGTTTGGGGGAGACACGTGCCAAGCACGCAGCAGCAGTGGGAGGCCTGTGACAGCACCAGGATGTGGCACAGCCACAGGGTCCCAGGGAATGGGAAGGTGCTCAGGATCACCTTGTTGACTATAGTGCTGCTGGCACTCAGCACTGCAGGCATAGCATTGCCACCTCCTGTGCCCTCACATGCCTTACTGCTGCCATCCTGCCCCAGTGGCCACCCTTTTCCACCCATCTGACGGCCCAACCCAGGCTCGTCATCACTTTCTACTTTGCTTTTTTTAAATAGAATTTATCCCCACATAACCTGTATATTTCTTTGTTTATTGTCTGCCTCTCCCCACTAGATTGTAAGCTCCTTGAAAGCGGGAACTTTGTTTTGTTCACTGTGGTAGCCCCAGCACCTAAAACAATGCCTGATATGTAGAAGGTACTCAAAAACACTTATTGAATGAATGAGTAAATGTACCAACCAATGGAGAGCTAGAACTTTTGTGAGTTCATCTGGCTAGAGGCCAAAACACTGGAGAATGTGTAATGAAGGTGTCCACATGGACTCCTATAGCTATGTCTCTCCTACTAGACTAGTGGGAAGAGCTGATAATGCCAAGAACCCAAGCCCCCCTGGGAGTTACTGTTAACTATCTGTAATTGTAAGGTTGAGGGTCTAGATCAGGGGTGGGCAAACTTTTTGACTCGAGGGCCACAATGCGTTCTTTTTTTTTTTTTTAATTTATTTTATTGATTTTTTACAGAGAGGAAGGGAGAGGGATAGAGAGTCAGAAACATCGATTCAGCTGCCTCCTGCACACTCCCCACTGGGGATGTGCCCGCAACCAAGGCACATGCCCCTGACCGGAATTGAACCTGGGACCCTTGAGTCCGCAGGCCGACGCTCTATCCACTGAGCCAAACTGGCTAGGGCCACAATGCGTTCTTAAACTGGACCGGAGGGCCGGAACAAAAGCGTGGATGGAGTGTTTGTGTGAACTAATATAAATCAAAGTTAACATCATTACATAAAAAGGGTACCGTCTTTTTTTTTTTTTTTTTTTAGTTTTATTCATTTCAAACGGGCCGGATCCGGCCCGCGGGCCGTAGTTTGCCCACGGCTGGTCTAGATAGTACAGGATTCATTTAGTTTGGGAATGGTACAAAGGGCAGTCCCATCAATCTTAAAGTTAGCTAGAGTAGTTTTCTGGCTTCCAATCCAAAAACCTTGACTGAATAGGTTCAAGAAATTGAAAGAAAGCCCCTGTGTTTGGGTATGTGGATAGACAAGGAGAGAGTGATACATAGAAATAGATAAGACCTCTCTAAAAGTAAGACTAAACAAATGTGTTTAGTATTAAGTGGATGAGGAGTGGAAACCCATGAAAGAATTTAAGCAGGGGAATGATATGGTCAGATTTGTGTTTTGAAATATTGTCTTGCCCAGACAGTGTGGCTCATGGATTGAGCGTCGACCCCTGAATCAAGAGGTCGCTGGTTTAATTCCTGGTCAGGGTACATGCCCAGGTTGCGGGCTTGATCCCCAGTAGGGGGCGTGCAGGAGGCAGCCAATTGACATTTTTATCTCTCTATCCCTCTCCCTTCCTCTCTCTCTAAAATCAATATTAATAATAATAAAAAAAGAAATATTTTCTCTAGCTGAAGTGTGAATGGATTGGAGGAGGTCAGAGTGAATTATGGAAAAAATAACATTCCAGGGGAAGTAGCATGAACATCAAGGAACACAATAGAGTATTGCAGTTGGGCCAGGGCTTAGCAAAGATCTTTCACTTATCTCTCTACAGTACGGGGGAGAAGGAGTTTGAAGGCTATTGCTGGTACAAGGCTGGGAATGAAGAGAGGTGGGAGGTAGGGCAGGATAAGTTAGAAGGGCTTTCTGTGACTTTCTTTTTAATGTTTATAAGAACTTTCAGGAGAGACCACCACAACATCCATGATTTACACAAATAAGAAGAACTGAATTGAAATAAAGTCTAACTTGAACCATCAATGGTATAAATGCCAGTACTTGGGATTATAGTGACAATCTTCTAAACTCTTAAAAATTTAGAATCTTGAGAGAGTTAAGCTATGAAATCAATACATAGTTGATTAACCAGCTATGTATGGAGAATTACAGCCCTAATA